TTTTATAAGTCTATACCTATGCAGTTTAGTAACTGATCCCATAGTTTGATTTTTACAAGTTGAAACCCGAAGATTCATATTTTTTTTGAGATACATAATTTATTACATATTTTCAAATACAATACAAATTACATATATAGTTCATAGAAATAAATTGGTACCTGTTTTAACTGTCCACTTTAACACTGCTGTAAACTATATAACTATAGTAACAATGTATTAGGTATATTATTACTTTTTATTATAATAATATGACCATTGCAGACTATAGACATATATGTTTATGATTTGATTTTCCAATAATAATATTATATTTGTATTGCTTATATAGGTACCGTTAACATTGTGGAGATGGGAAACTGCATTAGGATTATGCTTCCCTCCACGCAACATCCTATATAAGTACCTACCTTAAACCTTTGATCCTATTCAATTGTATAATATGCAATAACGAGTTGAAAAGTTACCTAAACCTACTTACTTTTAATCAAATTAAATAACCTGTCATTTTTTTTTGAAAAGTAAAGTCGAACTCTCTTAAATTTGTTTGATTGATAACTCAGTAATGATTATGAGAGGAGTGGGTGATACGGTATTACGCTATAGTCTATAACTTAACCCGTAAGTGGTACGACATTTTAAGAAGTAAACCAAAACAAAAACTGCAGCGGTCTATGGGACCAGACCATACCACTTACGGGTTAACCCCAGCTCAAAATTTTGCAATTCTAAACGAGTTTTTATTGATTAGTTATTAGGTATAGTTTGTAAGGTTGTCACTGACATTCTGTAAGTTGCCTATTTCAACGTTAGTTCTTTACTACTTTTTGCTTGTCACAAAAAACTGTGACTAAGGATTTTTAATATTTTTCATCCGTCTTTGAAATAATATATTAGGAGCCTTCTATTAAATTTTCAAGCTTTCTTACCCAACAAATAAAATTTTATTGATATTTATAGATTAAAAAATTAAAAACATTGGAAACTGAAAATGTCCGTAAACAGCTCAAAATGTATAAAAGAATTATAAGAATAAAAACACCTATTATCAATTTATATTGTCGAAGAGAAGTATAAAAGTGGGTTCTCAATTATAGATGGGCCTATGCACGGTGGTGTTCGTCGGTAGTACACTAGTACCGAGAGTCTAGTTGGGTTTCGTTAGGTTTCATTAGGTTTAGTGAGGTTTAGTGAGGTTTAGTGAGGTTTAGTGAGGTTTAATCTAACCTAACGCTGCCATCGGCACTGGCCTGTATTATTATTTAGATTTAAATAATTTCGATAACAGCAGCGCCATCTAACGCTGCAAAATAATTTTTAACAAGTCGTGGTGGAAGAACTGGCCCTCGCAGCTGCTTAATTTCCTAGTTAGATAGCGTTGTCATAAATACGATTTACAACACAGACATCTCCAACACTGCAATTTTATTTGCAAATAATTGAGTAGCAGAATTTATATTTTTTATGCCAAGTAGATATTGTAGTTTGAAGATTTTTGTATTAATTTTTATGTCGAAACACATAGAAACATTGTTTTTAAAAAGTAGGTACCTATCTATTTTTCAATTCACAATTTGTCATTTTTTATATTTTTTTATAAAATGAAATTTTATTTAACCCTATATAAAATGTCCATCTTTTTTTTATTTAATTTTTAATTTTTGTGTCTGTCATCACCTTTTAGGACAGTAAAACTGCTTAGATTTTCTTCAACAGTATCTTTTCTGATAGGGAAGTGAATCTAGTTGGTAGTCTGGGGGGTCAAATCTTTTCCAGTAGTTTTCAAAAGTGCCGCGAAAAACAAAAGAAAAATTAAGGAAAAACGGAAATTTGTGCTCAAAATCGATTTTGGTTTTTGGTTTAACTCTAAAACAAATTACCGTAGGTACATGAAATTTTGATTGAATGTTTATATTAACATTTTCTATACATCATAACATTTTCCAAATATTTTGACTTATTTTAAGCTATTTACGGACATTTTCAGTTTCCATTTTTTTTTAGTTTTTTTGTCTATAAATATCAATAAAATTTTATTTGTTGGTTAAAAAAACTTGAAAATTTAATAGAAGATAGAATAGAAGTATATTATTTCAAAGGTATATGAAAAAATACCTAAAATACCTTTGTTTGTGTACCATTATCAAAAAAAGAAAAAAATGTCTTCAAGCAAATCAAATTAAATTTTTATGAGCGTTTGAAGTTCACAATTTTACGATATTGGATAATCATATGATTTCTTATGAAGCAATTTTATTATTTTGTTGTTATTCAAAAAAGAATAACTGTAAATACATGAAAATTATACTGAATGTTTATATTTTCATTTTCTATACACCAAAGAATTTCGAAAATATTTTGACTCTTTTTGAGCTATTTACGTACTTAGCTATTATATCATTGAAATAAAATTAAACACCATCCATTACAGTGACCCACTTGTAACCTACTACACCTACAGCAAAGTGACATCCACTTGCCCACCTTTTTTTCATATGATTTTTAATTTTTTTGTGTTTTGGAACTGGGGGTGCTAAATTAAAGTTTGGGGGTGCTGAGGCACCCCCAATTACCCCACTAGTTGCGCCTATGCAGTCACTCACGTTTGATCACTTTACACGACCCGCATGCACACAAATAGAAAATTGCCTATATTGAATTCCTTAGAAACGATGGGTGGTATTCATACCCATTAATAGGTAAAAATTATGCATAGTTTTCTTATAGGAATTACTCGTAGTTTTTAGGGTCAAATAACTTAATTGTAGTAGTTTGATTTTATAAATAAAGTACCTACCTAATCATATATCGTAATTGTGAAAATCAAAATTCTCAAATAGGTAGGTTTTAGGTAGGTATCCATACTATTGCAACCCTAAAAAAATACATATGAAAAATAACTGAAGTGCACATATTGATAATTTTTACTTATAAAAAAACCATCCACACTCTGACTGTTGAATGTTAAAAATCAAAAACCAAAACGAAAAGTGTAAAAAAATGAATCAAAGAAATAAGTGGGATAAACGTAGCAAGACACCTATACCTATTGTTCTATGCCTATATTCTCTTTTATAGGTTAGATTTGTATTTATTATCGAACACTTCTCTATGTATCGATAGATATATAAGTATTTTAAAGTTATGTATACAGTGTATACCTAGTAATAAATATTGACTTAAATTACTTACCTAAGTACCTCAGGTATAAAATATACCTAATTATTAAAGCCATGAGATATTTTCAATTTTTATTATTATTTTTTTTTACTATTAAATTTGATTATTTATAGAAGTGTGCTAGTTGCATGGACGTAAATATTATGGTCTTCAAATGCTTGAGCCCAAAAGGTTTCAAGAACAAAAAGAGTGGGAGATTTGTCTTTCACCCACTATTATAACATACACATAATTTTATCTATGATACAATTCAAAACCATGACAAATTAAATGTAAATTTATTTATCGAATTATTGTACCTATAAATGTACAGTTTCACACATATATATATAATTGCAACCTTCTTCTTTTCTCATAAAACTTGTTTATGTTCATCATCTATTTTGTTAGATAACTATTTCAGTGTTTAAAATGTATTATAATAAAGAATAAAGATAACCAAGAGGTTTTTAAAAATATCTTAAAGAGGGCTTAAAATAGATCAGGGAGGACTAAGCCCTCCTAATCCCCACATTTATGTCCATGGTTAGCTAGGCTGATTATCACAATTTCACCACTCAGAATCGTTTTTTTGTAAACAATGATTTATCATTGAATTCAAATATAACACATCCATTACGACATGCTTAACAAATACTGTACAGCATTGCATTACCCACTTGTCCACTTTTTTAATTTTAAATATTTTAATAGACAATTGTTTATCCACAATAAATCGGTCACAACTCTCAATACATTTAATTTTGGTTTGTTGATATTTCGTTCTTCTCGATGTTGTCAAAGTCAACATTTCGATATTTCGACTACTTATCGACATTTTGACTGTTACATCTAGATCTAAACAGCCTGCTAGCACAGAGACATAATATAATTATCATATAGGTAATAAAGATTATAATAGATTCTAGCTATTTTTTTTTCCAGTTATTTAAAGATTTGTTAATATTTTAATTTATTTCTTTTTCTACTTTCACAACATACATAATATTATAATATGTTACAAAATAGTATTAAGCAACTGACTGTGACATCAGTAAGATAATGTTATTAACAGACTTTAGAACATTAGAACTACCTTTTTTAAATAAATGGTCTTTTTGCGATTACTTTTTGAAATTAAAGTTACTCAATATTAAAGCTGTTGGAGCATAGAATATTTTAAGTAGTACACTTTAGGAAATTGTGCAAAAATATTATTGGCAAATATAAAACAAATAAAAAACAGTTGTAATCGGTACAAAATAGCTATAAGCGGAAGATTACCCTATGTACTTCCCAATGTCCGATTATTATTTTAAAAATATGTATGTATTCATCATCCCCTTTACTAGGTTATGTCGGAAAAATAATTGATGTTTTAAAACTGAATGTAAGTGTATAAAATAAAAATATTTTCATAATTTTTTTAAATGTTCACAAATTGTTTAAGCCTTATTGAATACAAAAATCAAAAATCTGTTTCCTACATAACCTAGAAAAGGAGATGATGAGTTCATACATATTTTTAAAATAATAATTGAACATCGGGAAATACATTAACTAATCTTCCGCTTATTGGTCTAAGACTACAACAAATATGGTGTACTCCAACAGCCTTCAAGTAAAAATGTATTTTAAATGTAATTAATTGTAAAATGTAATTGATATATTGCTGTACTTAAAGAAAAAAAAAAAATTAAGAAAAAATAATGTTTACTACAATAAGTGTTTAATGTTTTTATTATTATTTTTTTTTTCAATACAAATAAACAATATTTTTCTAACGTACATTTTAACTGGAACAGTGAATACCAGTGATTACAGAAATATATTAATAATTATTAATAAATGTGATCAACATCATCCAACGCTAATTCTGGTTTGTCATATCCAAGAGCTTCCGGTGTGTCTATACCTAATTCTTGAAGGCATGGTGAGATTTCTTGCAAGATGTAAGGATAGATGCTTTTATCAATTTCACTTTTGATTCGCACACTTTCTAGAAACCTAATTGCCAAGGCATAATCGTTGAGGCGGCGACAAGCTTTTAGGGCCGCAACAATTACCTAACAAAAACAGACAACATGAATACATGTCACAGTCGGTCATGCATTGGCACGTATAATATTATACAAACATACTTTGGGTTCGGCTATCGCATCTTGACCCGCCAAATCATTCATTGCTTTCCTCGCTTCCCATCCGTCAATGTCGTTGCGGTTGAAGAACGATTCATACCTCGAGTAGAACTCTTCGTCTGTCTCTTCTTTGTGTTCTGACATAAATCTAAAGGATTATTCGCCATTAACGATCACCAAAACATAGGTGTGAAAAATCTCAACCAAATACGGACTGAGTGATATTATTATTAGTATTTATTACCTCACGGCCGTGATCGGTTTCATTGCCGACTGTCGTCTAACAGCCACGACTCCACGGGAAAAGGCGCGCACCACCGAAGGAAACATTTTAATCGGTTTTAACGTTTCGGGAATGGACGAATATTTTTGAGTTGAACAAAACGTAGTACGTACCGTTTTGGGAAAATGCCGCAGTGCACAGACAATTATTTGACCGAGACGATAAGTGAGAAAACCATAAGCATCGTCCTATGTAGTGGAAAAAAAGTAATCAAACATATGTTATTATAATCAACAGTGAGGTTATAAACGCGATCGTTATCAGCATGATGTATTTTATATTTTTAATTTTGATATTACCAGACAGTAAATAAAATACAAAATAAGTCTACATATTATTATGAATTATGATATATTATATTTATTTGGTATAATCGTATAGATAAAATTAGAAATTTTTTTTAAACTTTATTGAGTTTTATATTGTACCAAAGTATTGTGTATTAGTGTATTATTTATAACATATTAAGATATCGATTGCGTAAATTGCGATATTGTTAACATTTATATTTCCAACATAATAAGTACCTAATAACTAATTAAATTTCATTAAACAATCAATATAATTGATATACCTTTATACAAATATAATAATTTATGATATTTTTAATTATGTAAAACAGGTAGTCAATCTCTATTGATGAATATATAATAATATAATATTTTATATTACTAATATATAGTATAAGTCTAAACAGTACTTTATAATAGACAACTATGACTATATTATGTTAATTAGTAAACTGTTTAACACTAATGGTTAATTCAATAATAATTTTCTTCACACACCACGTTTAATTAAGTGTAATTTATGTTTTTACAATATTCATGATCAACATCTCAAAAAAGTAATAATATTTTGGTATATATAATAAATAATAATGAATATAGCACTTAATATTTTATAAGAATTTTGCGTACCACGGCCGTAATATAAAACAGTATTTATATAAATTTTAATATTGTATAATATATTAAACAATACATATATACCACAAAACAGTTTACATACATATTAGTCACTAAACATTATAAAAGTAATGAGTACAATTTTAAAAAAAGGTGCTCTGCTGTACAGTAGTTTATAAGTGGGTCACTGTATAATGGATGGTATTAAATTTGAATTCAATGATATAATATCATTGTATAAGAAAAACGATACCGAGCGGTGACGGTCAGTCTATGTATAAGACATATTATATACATATCTATGGTATTAAACAAAAAATTGACCTATAATAGGTACCTATAATAAATTCCAAATTAATCATATCACAATATCCATTAGATACTTATAACGCGTTATACATCAACAAAAACCGTGATACTATCATAGATATATAATAGTACACTTTAGAAGTTTCAAGTACCCACGAATAATATTATTCAATCACAACAAAATAACTAAAATAGTTATTCTAGGTTTTTTAATATGTAATTTCGTCCAAATTTGAATTTAAAATGTCTGTAAAAAATAACTGTGTTTATATATTTTTTAGATTTTTTGGTTATAGTATGAACTATTTATGAGAACCTTTGTGTTGAATTTGTAATCCTTAGCTATAAAAACTGAACATTTTATAATTTATTAATTACATTGATTGATAATTTTCGAGATTTTGATAAATTTTGTCAAAATTTGATCTTTAAATGCTTATAAAAAAAAACTGTGCCTATGTATTTTTAATGTTTTTCAACTGCTATTGTAACAATATATCAGGAGCCTTGTATTAAATTTTTACACTTTTTGGCCCGACAGATAAAACTTTATTGATATTTATAGAAAAAAAAACTAAAAAAAATTGAAAGCTGTAAATGTCCATAAACAGCTCAAAAAGAGTCAAAATATTTTCAAAATTGTATGGTGTATAGAAAATCCTAATTTAAACATTCAGTGAAATTTTCATGTATCTACAGTTGTTCGTTTTTGAATTGCAACAAAATAAAGAAATCGCTACATGAGTAATCGAGTGAATATCCAATGTTGTAAAAATTTGAATTTCAAACGCTCATAAAAATTTAATTTGACTGTCCGGTAGAGATTTTTTTATTGATAAAGGTAGATAATCTTATAAGGAATCTTGTGTTTCATTTTCAAATCTTAGATTTAAAAAGAAAAATTTTTACGAATTCTTAACTCAAAATCATTTGTTAATTTTCGTGATTTTTCCATATTTTGTCAATTTTTGAACTTTAAATGCTTATAAAAAAAAATTGTGACTAAGGATTTTTAATATTTTTCATCTGCCTTTGTAACAATATATTAGGAGCCTTCTATTAAATTTTCAAGCTTTTGCAACCAACAAATAACATTTTATTGATATTTATAGAAAAAAAACTAAAAAAAAATGGAAAATGAAAATGTCCCTAAACAGTTCAAAATAAATCAAAATATTTTGAAAATGTTATCGTGTATAGAAAATGCAAATATAAACAACCAGTGAAAATTTCATGTATATGCGTTCATTTGTTTTAGAGTTACACCAATAACCAAAATCGATTTTTTGGAAAACCAATTTTGCGTAAAAATTCCCGTTTTTCCTTAATTTTTATGTTGTTTTTTCCCGGCGCTTGTGTAAACTACTGGGAAATTTATACTTTTGACCCCCCAAAGTACCAACTAGATTCACTTTCCTATCAGAAAAGCTACTGATGAAGAAAATCCAAGCACTTTTACTGTCCTAAAACGTGATGACGGACACAAAAAAAAATATAAAAATATAAAAACATACATCATTGTAAAACCAATACATTCATCGCTCCGCTCAGAATCTAAAATTTCAGAATCTGTGGAACATCTTTAATATAGGCCATTATGGTTTAAGTGTTAAACTGTGTTATTGTTATTATTATTATTATTATTATTATTATTATATTTAAATTTAAACTATTTATTGTAAATCTATATATTAAATATTATAATTATGTATATTTTACACTGTATGCCTGTACCATACTGTATATTTAAAATAAAATTGGAATTATATTCCGTTAGGTATATAAAGTTTATTATTATTAATATTAATATATTATTTGTTTTAGAAAAATTGACAAGCAAAGTTCTTTGAACAATTTTGAATTGGAGTATTCAAATTGTACCAATTAGTAATTTAGTTAATTGTTGTATTAATCATATTTTAAGTTAAATATAAATTCTTATGTAATTATATTTATTACAATAATTAGATAGTAAATACATTTATTATAAACTACAAAGGTACAAATTAACTTAATTTAAATTCATAGTATTTTTATAAACAATAGTTTGATTCTTACAATCTTAACAATAATTTAATGTTTCATTCCTCGCAAACATAATTAATTTCAAAAATGATAAAATTATTATTAAAATTAATCATTAAAAGCAATTCAGCTCTAAATAAAAGCAATTCAGCGCCCCGGGGCAATTCGCCTTCCCTACAATTTACGGGCCCCGGGTAGAATATTAAGCGCAAATAAAGGCGCCCCCTTACTTTTTCAAAACTATGCCCCACCCCTTAACACGGCTCTGATCTGTGTATAAGGCCATAAAGATAAAGTGTTCACCGAAGAAAAAGATGGTAACTGTATCTAATAAAAATAAACTTATGCCTGTCTAAAAACCGGCCGGTAGAACGTGTTCGCTGGTAGACCGCATACTATATGACATAAACAAGATTATAAAAGAAACAGAAAGGTACCGTTCATAAACATTAAAACAACATTAAATCAAATTAATTAATTTTAATTAAAAATATAATTGTTAAAATGTATAATGTTATTAGTTCACTTATTAGGTACTTATTTTATATTCATAAAGTAATAAAAAAAACACGATTTTTCATAAATTGTATTTATTATTTATATTTAAAATATCAGTTAATACTTCATTATAATAATGATGGATATTTTAGTATCCATAATGGCCATTGCGGAAGCGGCCACTTCTCGGCCGGATGCGGTTGGTGGAGAGTCCGTGGCTGGTGGCGGCGGCGAGTCGGTGGCTGGTGATGAGTTGGTGGCCGTGGTGGCGAGTCGGTGGTGGGTCGGGGGTGGCAACTAAATTATTAAAAGTTGTCAAATAAACTCTTAAAAAAAAAATGTTCTATTGTTTTTATTTATTTTCGTACAAAACCCATTTCCTTAGTTATTAGAGCTTACCTAAAACAAAAAAGCAGTAAAATGTTTAAATAGAGTATATGTTATTAGTTATAATAAAGAGTTATTATGCACCCAATACCCATAATGGTACAATGGTAGGTACCTACTGTACATTGCAAAACACTAACACTGAATAAAAAAAAAACAATGTCAATAAACACAGTAGTTGGTAATTATAAGGTGTGGTGTATGATTTAGAATTTATGAACCTTAAATAAACTAATAAATTATGATACAAAAAGATCAATTAATAAAGTGTGTAAAAAACTAAAAAACTTAACAACAAATCGTCAACATTCAACAATCGGAAATCATTTTTCCGTATATACCAGGTATAATATGCTAAACAGATGTATAATGTATCATTCAATTCAAACCTATTATGCAGCAGCTTTATAATTTATAATATTGTTTTATTTTTTAAAATAACCATTTAATGTAATGGTTAGGTGATGGAAGATGTTCATTTATTTGTTTTGCTTGTAGCACAATATAATAATATTGTGTGATCTACAATATTACAACATGTCCATTTCATCTTGGTGTTAACTGTTCTATTTTATGAATTTGAATAGTTGTATAATACATTTATAGTTTGCTTTATTATCTAAATAATAGAGATACATATTATAAAACAACTATATTTGTTGTCGCATAGCCAATATTCATTAAATAGAACAGTATCTGCCATTTGGATATATAATGGTAAAGTAAATAATGTATAGTGGTAAAGTGAGTCTTATTGTTGTTATTTTATTTTAAAAACTGTTTAATTTATATTTTGTAATTTTTAATTTGTATCATGCAAATGCTGTGATTAAAAAAAACACATTGTTGTATAGATTAATACATTTTTTGCTACTAAAACAATTAGGTAAGTGGAATCCATTTGGATGTATAATGGCAAAGTAATGTATAGTATTAAAGTGAGTCTTATTGTTGTTATTTTATTTTAAAAACTGTTTGATATGTATTTTTTAATTTTTAATTTGTATCATGCAAATGCTGTGATTAAAAAAAAACCACATTAAATTATCTAATAATTTTTTTGCTACTTAAACAATATTAGGTAAGCGGAATAATTTTTTATATGTACCAATTATTTGTATTAATTAAAACTATATTATTATTATGTTAGCAAGACTATTGTTGATTGAAAACCAGTACTAGGTATGTAGAAATGGACCAAGCTCGGAGAAATCATTCAATACGAAATAGTGTTATACTGGATAGCCGACTCTGTACTGCATACAAATATGATATCTAGTCGCCATGTGCAAGCATAGACTTAAAGAAATAGACGGAACATTAGTCCCGAGGACTGGGAGGCGTGGTCGTGCCAAACGGATTAAGAGAGACAGCATGAGTTTTATCATAAGAGTGAGAGAATTGGCCTCTGCTCCGAGGACAGCCAATTAGAGCGTTCGTTCATTTTTATTATTTTCTAAATGATAAGACAATTATTTGTGATAATAATATAAATTATAATATTCTTTATATTTTAAAAATTAAAATAAAAATTTCAAAATTTAAGTTGAAATTTTCAAGTTTAACTCATTTGTAAAATATAAAATATAATAAATTGTTAATTAATATCTGTTAGACTTTAGTATTTAAATTTTTCTTTGTAGTTTGTTTTAAAACTAAAAATGTTTCCTTGATAAATCTAAAATAAACATATAAAAACAATAAAATAATTATTATATTTCTTGTTATAATAAATATTACATTTTCAGCTAAAGTTATTAATTAATTAATTTATTTTATTAATTTATTGATTCATATGTGTAACTAATTTTGTAAATTTTTGCCTGAATGAAGATTTGAATACATCATCGTTTATCCTGGTTCCAATATGTCTAAGACGAACTTTCAAAAATAAATCTATAATCAGATTAATTAATTGCTCTCTATGATTATTGAATACACATTGATTAGATGTATGATCTTCAATATTTTGAAAAACATCCATGTAAATATCTTGCTTTATTTTAGTTTTAAGAAATAATAAAATATTATTTTTATTAAATAATACTGTTTGGTATTGTTTTAGGTAGGCTTCAGCATATTTACATATAAGTATGACATCTTTACTTGGATTAATTAAGTTACAACCATCCCATTGTTTGAACTGCACAAATTATACCTATTTTCAACATATTGTGGTGTACTTGATTCTGAACAACTTAATATTTTATTTTTGCTATGTGAGGGAACATATTGTATTTCAATTTGGTCTCTAAATTTCCAAAATGTTTAACAATTATATTTATATTACATTGACATAAAATATATACATTTTCTTAAACTTACTCGACAAGTTTTGGGAGTGCATCCTTCTTAAGTCTAGTACTAACATAATCCTCTTTTTTAAAATGTGATGAACATATGTATAAATAATTAGGTAGTATTCCTTTAATTTTGCATTGATTTAACCATTTTTGCCTCATATATGGATTACTAGGGAATCTAATTTAATAAAATGCACAAAGAACAATTAATAATAACTGCCACCCAACAACTACCAAGTTATTGACAGACTTGGGTAAAATACTTTTTAAAAGTATTTCAAATACATATTCTGAATACTTAAAAAAAAGTATTCCGAATACTGTACTTAGAATACTTGTAAAAAATACCGTATTGAATACTTTCAAAAAAGGTAGCCAAGTCTGGACTTATTAGTTATTGATATATAATTCATCAAATAAATATACTTATGAAATGTTGCCTTTTGATCATTACATTCGCACACAATGCATGTCTTCATAACTGAACTTATTATTCAAATTTATAAATAATATTTATAATAAATGAAAAAACATAAGTTTAAACAATTAATAAATATTTATAAATTTAAATAATGTATTATAATAGGACAATAAATACTTTAATAAAAATTATCTTTTATTTTCGATCTATTAGATAATAGATAATATTAGCCATTAGGTAATAACATAACCTACTTCAATGAATAATATTATTACAATTGTTCATAGTTTCTATAAGTAATAGATATTATAGATTATTTTTATTATAGATATATTTAAATATTGAAAATATTGAAAATTATTCCCGCGGTTTTTCAACGCCCGATCCTCGGAACAAGCTCCACCCACTTGCACGCGTTATCATACCTAATGTTCCGTCTATTTCTTTAAGTCTATGTGTGCAAGTTGGGCAATGTTTACAAAATGTGGATGTTATCAATCCTCGTGATATCAATTAATCAAAATTCAAATTGCCATTTGCTTAACGAGAAACTATCGTGATTCGTGACTTGTCTGTCGTCTTATGTTCTGCTTAAACTTTATTAGTTTATTGGTATTTGAGTCTGATTTGAAATTAAAATTGTGTTTTAAATTATATTTTCGTCCAGTTTTTATATCCATACACATTATGGTGTGCTCCTGCAGTGTGCATTTGTGTACAAATCGGTCAAAACCAGGACCTCGAAAAATACACTTTTTCTCGTAAGTAATCGTTAGATATTTTATACGACTGTAATTTTGTTTATTTAATGTATAATATGGGACTTACTTACTTACACAAATATAAAACAATACATATAGTTTTTAGTATAGTTCCATCAAAGTAAGTTATTTATTTAATAATATTTCATTTGAAGTTAGTGGCTAAACTATTCTCAATAATTTGTTATTTCAATTAAAACAGAACATATTATGTTATTCATATTAAATTAGCATTTGTTTACAACTTTGTGAATTTCTGTAAACAGGTTTCCACTGAAAAATTCAGAAAGAACTCAGCAATGGGTTAATGCAGTTGGCCGCAAAGGGTTTATCCCGACAAAACACAGCAAAGTATGTAGTGATCATTTCTATCAAAATGATTTTGAACATAAAATTGGTGGTAGTTATCTTCTAAAACTCAAAGTAACGGCTGTCCCTTCAATTTTCCCAAACTACTCAGCCATTATATCAAAAGCTAAAAAGCAGTATCTTGAGGTAGAACCATTTCAAGTAGCTGTATGCAGCTCTTATATTGCTTGTAATGAAACTAATGAACCAGGTAATTTATAAATATTTTTCTATAATTAAAAGATTTATTAAAGATTTTACATCAACATATTTTGTAGAAATGCTTAATGATGGTGATTGCGTTATTGATGATGATACTACTTCAGTCAAAATTATTTCACCTCTCGAATCAACCTCGAAAATCCAAGAATGTAACTTATCAACACAAAATTCATCACCATCTAAAGTATCATGTACCCATTCATTAATTAATATAAGTCTACCAAAGAGCCCTAGTACTTCTCCATCCAAATCTGAATTGAAGAAAAAAATTAAAACATTACAACAACGAGTTCGACGGCAAAATAAATCAATCAAAAATTTAAAAGATTTATTAAAAGGTAAAAAAAATTTAATTGAAAAAAAATCAGAGGAGTTACTAATTGAAAAAAAGTCAGAGGAGTTACTAATTGAAAAATTTGATTGTACAACTGTAGACATATTTCAAATTTGTTAAAAATAAAGGTAAACAATCTTGAAGTATATATCTGTGATTATATATTCGTGCTCGCATAATAATTATTCTAATTAACATTATTATTCTAAGACTTTTTATAGTTGATAAGACATATTGATATATATGTATAATCTATCCACTAAGATATATTATCTATGATCTATCTCAGACTGAGACTGTCGATTGTTGACTGAGATTTTCAGTCATAACTCAGACCAGTGGCGTCCGCAGGGGGGGGGGGGGCTAACAGGCTTAAGCTCCCCCCATTGCCCATATTATTATTACTTTAAAAAAAAATATTAATCAAGTTTAAACTGTCAACTATAGTAAGCAAGACGTAAATTTCATATATGACTTACCAGAATGAATTCATTTCTAAAAAAACATTGTATTTGCATACCAATTTTCATAAATTATCTGTAGTTTTTCGGTCAAAGAATGAACTACTTGTACGAAAGACCTTGTATTAAATTGTCTAGTCTTAGCTGTACATATTTTATATTTTATAAGTTTTGAACTACAAATTAACTGTGGTTAAATTGTTTTGAACTTTAAATGCATATGTATCGTTAATATTTTAGCTATAATAAAAAAACTTACGTATTACCTTTTTAAGCTTTTTGACCGGATAATTAATTTTTTATTGACATTTATAAAAATAAAAATAAAAATTAATCAAATACAATCCAAGTGAGGACGGTATAACCAACTACCAAGCTACTGTTACCAAACAATTTAAATAAGTTTTCATTTTATTTTCTCCAATTAGGTACTTTTAAAAGCACTAAGCAGATTCAATTTCGACCTCCTAAAAGTACCAACTAGATCCAATTTGCTTCCAAAAACATACACTGGGCATCGAAGCTTATGATAAGAGCATATTTTCTACCAGAAAAGTTGAAAAGTTACAAACATTTTAAAATACCTCAAATAAACGTCTGAAATTATTAGACTGGACAAAATAAAAATAAATTTGTAACTAATTTGCAAGCCCCCCCCCCCCTATTGAAAAATCCTGTTGACGCCACTGACTCAGACCTATAAACTAAGTTATAATATAAGCTTAATAGTTTATAGGTCTATGATCTCAGTGTGGATGAAAAACACTGACCTATTAACTATTTAACTGATAAATGATAAAAAATTAAAAAGAACACATGAAAAGTATTTGTTTACTTTCCGTCAAGTGTCTACTAGTCACATTTATTTTTAAAAGTAAAATAAATTACATTTTGAATTGTATCTATTGTTGTGTTCTTTTATTGTAATTACTTATTAGTTATTACCATCTTAAACGGTTTTTTTTTGTTGCTCATACTATCATACTTCATCAAAATGGTTTTAATGTGCTCAATTACACTTTGTAAAAGTGTTTCATCAAAACAATACAATGTTAAGCTACATAAGTAATTATACAATATATTATTATATATATTATATTGTATTTGTATTAATGATTTTGCTATTTATTATAGGTTTGCAGCATCAGAAGAACTTTGGCGTATATGGCTAGATCGTATTACCTAGGTCATATTATCCTAATTTTAAAATTAGCAATTTTAGTTTAGTGTGTAGTAAACATTTTGCTGAAATTGATTATTTAAACACTAGATCTGAATCATTTTTACTACGTAAAGATGCAGTATCCTCGTTGTTTGATGTTGAAGAATGTGTGAATGTTTTCAATGATAGCACAGATTATATAATGATGTAGAATAATATATTATATAATCTGTGATGACATTAAGTTATTATGTGTAATAAATCTTTATAATCTACTATAATATAGTATCTAAGTAAATTTGATGGTGATTCTAATATTCCTAACCCATTTACTATTAATGTTATGGAAGTTACTACAACAAAGATGAGCGATAGTTTTAATATTTCTAAAAAAATTATTGTTGTCTTTATGGAAGTTACACCAAAATATTAATTTTGTAAAGATGCAGTACCAGTGGAGCAACCAGGGGGGGCGGTCTTGTTTTGTCTCCATTTTAAAATATAAAATTTAATAATGTCACATTATTATTGTCGGCGATGTAAAACGTAGGTAGCAGGTACTTATACTGAGTTAAACCTAATAATATTATATTTTTCTATATTTTTCTTTTATAGTTATAATTTATAATTATTATTATTATATTATTATAGTACGATCCCACAGGGCACCGACCAGTTCGTTGTCAAATGTGTGAGTGTTGCGAACTATAATATATTAATATCTGTTTATATTTTATAATATCCAAAATACCCATTACATCTATGTAAAACATTTTAAATGTTATTTCTCATTATTATTTGTACATGATAGATATTTAATCTGTACTATGTAGTATGTTAGTATGTACTCTGTTGGTAGTAGGTAGTCAGTACTGACGTAGTCCAAGTGGAGTGATAAACAGTAGGTACAATTATAAAAATATATCTATATATTTTTTTTACAAAATAATACCAAAATAAAGGTGCGTTTTCACTCGAATTTGAAAATCAGAATTTTCTTTTTTAAAAGATGCCGATGGAGTCTAAAAATCTTTTTGTACAATATATAAATCGGTATTCTTTATGGAACATGGTGGACTTATATATTGTTACGTGCGGCACCGTCAGGGATCCAAAAGATGATGATTGAAATAGGTTTTTGTAGTCAATTTGTATAGTAAAATTAAATGGTATTTTATTAAAACAATATATAATTGTACAATAGTCGTCTTCAGTGGCGTATATACGAATTATTTTCACTATAGGCCAATTTATCAGTTATCACTAGTCAAGAATAGCACAACTAACATAGCCATAACTATACATTTTTTAGGGAGCTGGGGGGTTATAATTATGACATATACAGTACAAATAAAAATTACGCAATTTAATTATTATGTAAAATTAATTTTTTGATTCTTTTTAAAAAATATTGATAGTGCCATTTATATATTTTAATTTTTAATGTTATCTTACTATGAATTTAACATCAAAGTCAATTATAAGTTATCAAAGCAAGTCCTGACCATCTAACATTTCCTTGTTGATTCCTCAAAAACGATTTTAATCAACCGGCTAACTTAATCATGGTGAAAAACTGTAAACAGTGTAGATATACATGCAATGCTTTAATTGAACCTGCAATTTCACTATGGGCTCTAGCCTATAGGGGGCCTCCCCCCTATATACGCCACTGGTCGTCTTAGAATATGTGGCTGAGTGTGGCATGAAATTTCTCTGGTCTTAACGGCTACCTATGGTACATCTGAATATGCTTTGTTCCCAGCCCACCTATATACCTACGATGTCGGCTCCTTTGATATAATCGGCAAGTGAACTTGCAGGTGTCTTTAGGTGTGGTTGTTTTCGTAGAGATGAGATCAATTACCTTCTGTCACTTCTTTATTTATTTATTTATTTATGTATAATAAACCGGTATTAAACCCTTTAACAATTTGAATAATTATAAGTACAGTTCAGCTTATCTTATAATAGATTTAGGTAAGATACAAAAAAAAGAAGTAAAAATTAGTAGTACCAATGGTAATAGTAAACACCTAAAATTGTTTCATATAGCCTGTGGTTAATACATTGTGCAAGGTCTGTATAGACGTATACCTAATTCATCACTGCCATTAGTGGTTCAATTAGTACATTTAAATGTCAAATGTTACTTATGAGTTATTATAGGTTAAATCAGAGTGGTCCAGTTAGTGGTCCATAGAATCAATTATAATATAATATTGTCCGTAGAGTCTTGACTCTACAATATAGTGGATGTTGGCAGATATAATCAGCATAGGCAAAAATTTGAAAAAAGTAGTTATAGAATGATTCATTTAGGTGGGTGCACGCCGTAATTATTTCGAAAAGTATTAACTTTTTTAGTTTTTTTTTTTTTTTTTTTTTTAACTTTTAGATTTATTTTTTTCTAAAACTGTTTAATATTTTAATGTTTTTCAATATTATATTTATTGGTAAAACTACTATCAACTTTTGATTTTCAATTGGTAACATACAATAAAAAAGGTGGCCTTTATATTTTTAATCTTTTTCAACTGCTATTGTAACAATATATCATTAGCCTTGTATTCAATTTTTACACTTTTTGGCCCAACAGATAAAACTTTATTGATATTCATAGAAAAAAATAAGGAAATTAAAATATGAAATTGTCCGTAAACAGCTCAAAACAAGTCAAAATATTTTGAAAATTGTATCAAGTTTAAGAATTGTTAAAATAAACATTTGAAATTTTCATGTATTTACAGTTATTCTTTTTGAATTTACAATAAAATAAGGAAATCGTTTCACGATAAAACGAGTAAATATCCAATGTTGTAATAATATGAACTTCAAACGCTCATTAAAATTCTAATTTGACATACTTGTAGACATTTTTTTTTATAATAAAGGTAGATAAACTTATGAGTAATCTTGCATTACTTTTAAAAATTTTTGATTTGAAAAGAAAATTTTTATGAATTTCTAACTCAAAATAATTTGCATAATTTGCACGTATTTTGTCAATATTCGAACTTTAAATGCGTATAAAAAAAATTGTGACTGGATTTTTAATATTTTTCATCTGTCTTTGAAAAATTATAACTATAATTATATTATAGGAACCTTGTATTAAATTGTCAAGCTTTTTTACCCAAAATATAAAATTTTTTTGATTTCTATATATAGAATAAAATACTAAAAAAGCGAGAGAGTGTGAGAGCCCACCATTACACTCTGGAGAAGTAAAACATCTTTCATAAGTAATTTGGCCGAGTGAATTATAAGTGAATTAGAGAGAGAGAGAGTGAGAAAAATCAATACAACATATAAATAAATAAACAAACGTGTCGTTTCATTTTTCGTTACGATTTTTTTTCCACCCACACCTCAAGAAAGAAGTTTTACTTCAAAAAGGTCATGAATCTAATAAAACTATTTTTTTTTTATGAACTATGCGCTGTTGATTCGTTTGCGAGTTACAGCTCCTCAAAGTACTGGTGGTTGAATGAAGTGTTATAGTCGGTACCACTGTAAATATCTTTTTTATAGGTACCTGCATACATAGGTATTATACGTAGGTATGTTTACCACTGAAAGTTCCAAAAACTGCTCAAAATAGTTAATTCCTGTTTGCCCTTAGCGGTGCAGAAACTAATATTTTAACACACGGAGCAGGTTATAACATTCTTGTGGTTGCCAATATGCAAAATTACAACAAAAAAATCAATATATTATACAATATTATCGTAAAATTAACTAGTTGATGCAAATAAAAAACTTGATTCATGAACTGAAGTACGTGTTTGACACTGTTTACATGTATAATGAACGAAGAAATAAAAACAAATCAAACATAAGTTCACAGTAGAATAATTATACAAGAATTATTATATTACATATTTAAAATTTAATCGCTACTCATTATACAATATTTAACAAATTGTCATTAATTGATATTAATATTAAATACAAAACAAAACTATGAGCAAGTGTATGACTAGATGAAACGTAGCTAGTAATATTGTCATAAATGGCACCGGTCGTCCCATCCAAATAATCTGTAAATAGTAGGAAATTAATAATTATACCGGGTTTACAACATAAAATTAGACGAATTGTGTAAAAAGCAGTGTTACTCACCTGTTACTTCGGTGACATTGACGCTGTACTTGTAGTTTTCACCTTCAAAAATTACTTCGTTGGATGATTCGACGACAGTTGTGATTTCTAAAACAAATGTGTGCAAACGACAATATATCTTAAATAATGGTTTTGAATAAAGTTGACTATAGGTACAGTTATAATATGATATTGTAATATAATATATGAATAATATAGCTATGTACTCTTATAGAATGAATATACCAGATATGAACATATTTGGGAGTGAAAAATCAAATGCAATAAAAATATATCACGCAATATAAAATAATATTGGGTAGGTAATCAACATTCCTTAACAATATTAGATCATCGTTTAAAAAATAACATTCACAAAAATACCTACATAGATATATTGTTTAATCTCAAATACTGTGCGTTAGTGTATAATGATTAATGAAAATGTGAACTTAACGGTGATAGGATACTGTAATCTAAGTAGTAACATAATAGTAACTTGCATCGATGCACGCCAATCAAAGGCGTATCCATTTCAACAAAGGTCTACGTGCAGGTATTGTTCAAACCCATACGAGATAGTGAACACACATATATTTTACACTCGAAGACAAAGTTTTAATTATGTACTTAACTAATAATATTCAGTAGTAGAATAAGAATTCTATAAACAGGTGTCCGTAGAATATACGGACCTACTCCGCGTTCATACCAGTTATAATCTACCCCTTAAGTACCCCCTGGTAGGTTCCTCTCGCACCTGATATTTTTATTCTACTACCATAATTTTATATATAAAATCAAGAGTGTACTCAGCAGTGGCGTCCGCAGGATTTTTCAATGGGGGGGGGGCTTGAAAATTAGTTACATTTTTATTTTGTCCAGTCTAATAATTTCTGACGTTTATTTGAGGTATTTTAAAATGTTTGTAACTTTTCAACTTTTCTGGTAGAAAAAATGCTCTGATCATAAGCTTCGATGCCCAGTGTATGTATGTTTTTGGAAGCAAATTGGATCTAGTTTGTACTTTTAGGAGGTCGAAATTGAAAATGCTCAGTGCTTTTAAAAATAATTGGGGAAAAAAAAATGAAAATTTATTTAAATGTTTGGTTATACCGTCTTCACTTGGATTGTATTTGAATAATTAAATTTTTTTTTCTATAAATGTCAATAAAAAATTATTTATCCGGTCAAAAATCTTAAAAATGTAATACGTAAGTTATTTTTTTATAGCTAAAATATTAACGATACATAGCCATAGTGTGAAAAAATTTCATGAAATTTAAAAAAAATGAAATATTTCAGTATTTTGATATATTTTGTTTTATTTTTAAATAAGTTTTATATTTATAAATAAGTGTCATAAATTACCTTCTTAACTGTATGTATACCTAACCTTTGATATTATACATTTAAAATGGTATTCAACATTTTTAAATATTTTAATGTTTAAATGATACAAGTAGGTATACAATATTATACATGCATATTGTATAAATACTGAATTCTGTCATTAGAATTTAGAACACTGAACATTGTGTTAAAAAAATAAATAAATTGTGTTTTTATTTGTGTAAAAAAATTTCAATGTGTCACGTTTTTGTGAAATATTTCATACTTCAAACACTACATAGGCACCATGGTTATTTTTTATAAGCATTTAAAGTTCAAATTTCGTCAAAATGACAGTTAATTTGTAGTTCAAAACTTATAAAATATATATAGCTAAGGCTAGACAATTTAATACAAGGTCTTTCATACAAGTAGTTCATACTTTTACCTAAAAATTACAGATAATTTATGAAAATTGGTATGCAAATACAATGTTCTTTCAAAAATGAATTCATTCTGGTAAGACATATATGAAATTTACTTCTTGCTTACTATAGTTGACAGTTTTAATATTTTTTTTAAAAAGTAACAATAATACGGGCAATGGGGGGGGGGGGCTTCAGCCCTTTAGCCCCCCCCTGCGGACGCCACTGGTATTCAGGAATTTTCAACTGTATTAAGGAGGTGAAACATTTTTCTATAATTCTGGAAAATTGTCTAGTCACAAACAAATATATAAATATGAAATAGAAGCACGGTAACTCCTTTAGCTAAACAATGTAATATATAGATTATAGGTATATACATTATGCAATTAATAACCCCTTTCCCTTTCAGGGTATTGTTAATGATATTTATGCTAAAGTGTGCGAAGTGTGAACTCATGTTATAGGTAAGTATCTCATTCCTCCAATATAAAATCCTGACTATATACCTACGCCTGTAAACGCCTGAATGATGGTTTTATTCCTATATTTCTGCTTGATTTCATAAATGGTAATTCAAACCACCATGTCTGAACAGGTATGTTTGAAACACAGTTTAATATTAACTGGCTATAAAATAGGTATTAGTTTGAAAATTAAACATGCAGTATAAGACTTTTCAAATTGTTTAGAGACATGGTAAAATGTGCGTTTATATTTTATTTTAATGCATTCATGTTTGTGTAGATTGCCACAAACCCCATGGATCCCTGGATCCCTCCCCTCCCTCTATCATGCTTCTGTATAATATTATGCTAATAATATCGGTATAATATAATTAATATATTATGTTCAGTAATAAATAATAATTAATAATATTATTCGTGTACCAACCATAGAGCTTAATGATGCCGTCAGTCTCGCCAAGAGCGTTTACTGCTACACATTTGTAACTACTGAAATCTTCAGTACTAACGTTGGAGATATGCAAAATCATTTTGCACACGTATCCAGTTCTGATTTTATCGTCTAAAAATCTTGAACCTGCACTCAATAGACCAAAAAAAGATTGTTTCAATTAAGGCTAAAACGTTAAGTTGTATAGGTTATTTAGAATTATTTCAGTTTTTTTTTCAACAACATTCTTCTACGTATTATTTCGTTACATAATATATATTATTATAAACATACAAAATAACGGAAAATTGGCGTTCAGGTAGAACTAATTTTATTTTGTTATCTTTAATATTATATAGTCTATGTTTATACGTCAGGTTTTTGCTATATTTTAAATATTCAATAGAATTATGTGGGCATTTTTAAATTGCAATATTTTATACACTTCGAAATTTAACAAACTGACCTACAAACACAGACAATTTTCTCGCATTTAAGTATAATTACCTACAGGTAAATCGACTCTATACATCGGTGTGTAGTATGTACGTACCGGAAACGATCATATCCCCGCGTTCGTTCGTCCAGTAATTGATCGAAGGAGGATTTGCTTCCGTGTGGCATTCCAGTTTCGAAGAGACCCCTATTCGAGCTCCTTCTAATTGATTAGGAATCATCAACATCGGAGGAACTACAACGATATTCCATTAATACAACGATGACAGATTGACTAGTAATATTCGTTGCCAGCCAAAATCATTTTTATTGTAACATTAATACAATATATTATGATCATGCACTCACAGTGTACGGTGACGATGATGCGCTTGCTGCGGGTAGGCGGCACCCCGTTGGAAGCCACACACAGGTAAGATCCCATGTGCAATCTGCTGATCTTTCTGATCATTAACTTTTCTCCGTCGATCACGTTCACTGTAAATACACAATAATGATAGGTATGGGTATAAAACAGTTCCGCAAAACTCCATCACCTTATTGATTAGTTGCTTATGACGGATTTATTATCATAAAAAAAATCAATAAATTGAATTTTAATATCTTATTGAGTATAGGTACAACTTTACGAAATTATAATAACAAAATAAAACGTTCCATCCCTCGTTTTAATGAAAATAATTAGAAGGTGCGCTCTCAAAATATAAAGAAATTGAAGAGAAGCACCGATTAAAATAGGTTTAGGTACATACTATTATTGTATCTATCTTAATAATATATATAAATGAATGTGTGTGTGTGTGTGTGTGTGTCTTTTAAGCATTTCTAAATGGCTGGACCGATTGCGATGAAATTTGGTACAGAGATAGATTAGACCTCTGGGGATAAAATATAGGCTAATTTATTTAAAATGGGTAAATTCCAACCCGGGGAGATGCTCAAACAGAGATTATAAGACTTACGATGGAAATTTTTGTTTGTAAATAGTTGTTATTTTTTTTTTTCGGGTTAAATCGAAGACCGGGGGTGGAACCGCGTTTAAGCATTACTTCACCCCCGGCCCCCAATAAAATAGTTGTTATTGGTTTTAATAATGATTATTATTATTAAAGCGATAAGCCTAGTACAGAATGTTGAACCATGCTGTCGGTGGACTAATGTTTTGCATTATTTGTTTCTTATTTTTCCTTTTTTATTTTTCTTCTTTATCTATATAACATACGAATGTTTGGTTTTTTTTATTCATCGAATTTTAGTACGTTTAGGTTTGATTAGGATTTTGTATTAATTGATTGTATTAATCCACAGTAGGTTGAATTAAGTAAAAACGACTAACTTGGTATAACTTTGATACTTTAGAGTTAAATTATACAGTTATTTACAAACCACACAGGGCCCGCGATCTATCGCTGGTAGATTGCCTACCATGATAATATACTGCTGTGAATCTCACGGATAACACCGGTCGAGATGGCCACACATTAAAAAATAAATAATATAATTTACACTTTAAAGATAATACTTCCACAGCGAGTTACACCCAAAAGGAGTTGAACAATCAGAAATTTTTCCGAACAACACCGGGTAATTCAGCTAGTTATGTATAATAATAATAATGGTGTCTGCATTCAAAATTCAATTAATTGACTATAAACTAATTAGTGAATTATCTGCTAACAAAATTTTTACCCGTGAGACCGTTGTAGTTTATGTCCTTCCCGTCTTCTCTTCGCCACATTATGTATGGTTCGGGATATCCCCGGGCTTTACACTGTAAAAGCATGTCTGATCCTTCTTTCACTATGAGATCCATGCTGGATTCTTCGTCGATCACTTTCGGAGGAACTGAAACAAAAAGTACAAACAGTAGATATCGCGTATTGCTAACAGGTTTTGTCGATCGTGTACAATACATTTTTATCACGCAGTAACAATAATAATATAATAAATAATAATGATATTATTCAGTTTAGGCAGTCTTAAAAATCCTACCGACAACTTGTAGATATCCTTTTTGACTTGTCATGGGCTCCGTGTTGATCTGGCACATATACCAGCCTCTGTCGGTCTCCTGTACATTGCGGATATGAAGAAACCACGTCCGATGATCATTGTAAGATAAAGTTATTCTTGCATTTTCGGTCACCATTCGGTGGTGTATAGAAAGTATGGTTTGGGTGCTAACACGAACCCAAGCGACCTAAATAGTAAATATAAAACGAAGGTTGATATTTATATCCAATGTATAATAGAGTAACAGATCCTTTGTATAAGAACAGCCCTGGTACATTACGTATGTTTATTATAATACATTATAATATTTTAATATGTACAGTTAGCTATCTATTTTAGGAAAATAATAGCCAAGAAATTGAATATTATATTAGTAATGTGGGAACGATGATATAATAATTAATAATGCAACTATTAGTAGACTGCAGGCAGGGTAAAAATAATAAACAATTTTTTTTTTTGGACAATTAGTATAATAATATTAAGTAACTGATGTTTTCAAATAAAATGGATTCACAATAAATTCAAAAAAAAATACAAAATATGTTATTAAATAATAATCTGAAACTATGGAACGACACCATATTATTATCAGGTACTTGATACATTGTTGATGAGTGTGACAGCGAAAAATACCTCTACAGTCAATATTAGGACGGGCACGTTAAATTGTATAATATAATGACTATACCTAAATTAATAATAATATGTATAAAACAATGATATTTGCAAATAAGTTACATAAAAATTCTTGATACAAAAGTTCAAAATAATAGACGACTCGTCATTGTCCGTACCTCTATCAATGTCTGACATTTTGAATAATATTAATTTGAATAATAATTATTGAGCACGTTGCTCGTAGTTCGTAACAGTATTATATAGGTACCTACATAGGTATTGGCATTTGCGTATCCAAGGAGAGGAGTGACTGAGTGAGGGGGTGGAAACTCCCTCCTGATAAATGTTCAGATAAAATTAATTTTTAACCCCCCCCCCAACCAAAAAAATGTTTGATACGTCACCGAAGGTTGGAATTATAAACTATATTTAAGTTACATAATAATATATAACTTTTCAATGGTTTCATCTAAGACTAGCACTTTTAGTTTCGACACCAATTATAGTCGATGGATGAAAACCATACTGTCCATACATACATACATATTCTATTAAATTTATCATTGTAATTTATTACCTATAGAAAATAATATTACATCAGTTATAATTTTTACGTGGATCGAATCAATATTTTTGAAAAACATGTGGATAATTTGAGCCAATAAAACTGAACATGTATTTATATTTTATTACAAAATATTTTAAAATTTTTTTTTTTACCAATTTTTATGTGAATATATTTATATATTTTTTATTATTATAAATAATCAATTTATTTGTAGCTCGGCGCGGCGCAGTGGCTGAAATCAATCACGCAACGTGATTGAGAGTAAGCAACAGCCGCTGCTACTAGTTCCCGGATGGGTGACCACCCGGATCCATAGTGGCAAAACCTTGCTACACATACCTACACGTGTTGCCAACCAACCGTACCAACCATTCAAACCCTACCAACCGTTACAACCGTAACCCCTACAGTAGCTATAATGGCCATAGTTTCCGGGCTCTAGACCAATAAAAAAAAAAATCTATTTTTAATTTTATAAGTAAATACATTTTGACAAATTATACCTAAATCAGTTATACCTATTATAAAGCATGCGGGTTTGCCTTATATTTAATCTAAAGTATGCTGTTTTTGGATTTATGAACATACGTATATAGGTAATATAGCCATATAGTTAAAATGTATGATAACAATATTATAATATATAATACATGGTTAAATAATACTAATCTGAATGATTGTGTTTGTTAAGATTTAAGTATTAAGTCTACTAATGTAATGCAGTTTATTGTCGGTACACATAACCTGGCACGTAGAAAAGTAAATTCTCATTTATATCAAATAAATGTACGCGTTATTTTTACTTTTTGCAATAGTTTTCAAGTGCCTTAACTCTTAAGTATCTACCCTAAGTAGTTTTCAGTAAGGGTCTTCCAATGATTACAATATAATATATCAAATATATAATGGAACGGGATCGTTAAAAGATATACGATACAGCAAATAGAAGAATGATTGAAGAGTTTTATATTATTATATAATATACGTTTTGGAGAACAAAATCCTTTAAATGCATGTATTTTAAATTAATGGCGTAAAGAAGAAAGAAAAGTTTCAATTTAATATTGATGAATCACGAACATTTTATCTTAATACTTTATAATTTAATTTTAATTTTTGTACAAATTACTTCCAAAGTTTTACAGGTCAGTAAATAAGTAGTGTAGTTGGTTTATTATTTTACCAGATGTTAATAATTATATTATGTTTTCCATCTAAAATTTCTTTATTTTAAACTCAAACTGTAGAAACTCTCTCAGTTTTAGAATTAATCACATAAATTTGAAACTTAAAAATAATAATATTAGTACCTACGAAAGGGTACTAATATTATATTTTAATGTAAGTTTATTGAATAAGACATATTCCCATGATTTCAAAACATAATATATATCAAATATAAATAAACCCTCATTTTCGGTCTTTCAGGTAGGTATGATAAACATTATTTGTTTATTATTGTCAATAATTATGGTGTAAAAAATATAACATTTAAGTATACATATTTTAAAGGGTGATGCAACAAAAGCAATGTCATTTCTCACCCCTAGTTTTTTCTTCAAATGAATTAGTTCAAATTTTGAGTTCCCGATTTTTCAAAAAACACAATAAAGAGGTGGGTATTACTTAATATGTATATTAAGAACACGAATATGCTTGTGTGAGAACTACAAGAAAACCATTGAACGGTATATAAAAATTAAAGTACCTATTTGAAAGTATGGAATTTAAATTTACTTTTCAAAATTAAAGTGTTTCAATAAATATACATAGTTTAAAGATAAAATAGAGATGAGATAGATACATGAGTACATTATGCTCGGTGAACACCATGTATATAATATTTTAATTTAACGAGAACATTATACAGTTATTAGTGGCTGCAGCCATCCGTCGACGGATTTCGTAAACACAACAATAAGCCGAGCCGGGAGACGCTATAGGTATATATTATTATATTTACTTATATTATATATATTGTACCGGCGATGCGTCTCTCAAGATTAAGTACGTACGCGAACCATCGATCAATTAAGAAACTCCAATCGACAACAGCGGCAGTACCTACACGAAGATATTGTTAGGTATAAAATATTATGATAATGTATTATGTGTACCAAGGGCTCGCAGTTTAATAATAATATTATATAATATGCTATGATGATGGGATTTATTTCTCTTTTGTCATAAGTTAAGCTCGGATTTTGTACAATAAAAAAGTCAAAATATTATGGAAATACTTATGAGCACGCCATAGCCGCATTCGTTATTGTCCCCGCGCGTATTGCAAACTCACAAAATAGCAATAATTGTACTTTCTGAATAATTAATTCAACTCTGTTATGTTAAATTTTAGAGTGAATTGACCGGGTTTAGGAGTAAGAATAATAATATCTAGTGTATGACACAGGTTTTTTATACATCTTAATTACAAAGCGAGTAGGTTACTAGAATTTAAAAAAAGTAAATATCTGTAACATGACAGAGTTAAATTAACTATTCAGAATTTAAAATTTGCTACATTATGCGTTTGTGAGACGGACACGACGCATGCTGGTATGGCGGCGTCCCCTTGTATGTATTGTTATCTTTGCCAAAATGTTTAGTAATTTTATAAGAGATTAATTAATTTAAAAATGAAATATTCAGGAGCCCTCTCTTCATTTTTTCATTGTATACGAAATTAATTCGAGTTAAGATTGGTGATGATAATTTATCCCTTTCCCGTGCCGCAAAAGGGTTGAAACATGACAAGGGATGGTAGTTTTGTGATTTTTTGAATCCAACTCAATAATACTACGGGAGTGCCTACTCAGCATGAAAAAATATAATAATATACACTATAACGCGAATCCAAACGATGAATTTCCTCCTCGTTTCACGTGCTTTGACGCTGACGTCGAGCTCGGAATACGAAATGCGAGAAAATAATAATAATATGAAGTTTATTATATATGCATGCACAGGTATATTTAGTACGCTGCACACTCGCGCACGGGGACGTAAACGCCAGATACCGAAACGTATGGAATGAAAATAAAATAAAATATTTTGATTTACTACTATCGTTGTTTGTGTACGCAGCACACTCGGGGGGATAGGGACCCGATAAAATTCGCAAATCTTTCACGTGTGCTTACAATATTGCGGGCCCGTCACCTCGTCCGCGAGCGGTGTATACGTCCTTTAGGTATTATATTATGATATAATATTATAACATCGCATCATAATGATATTATATTATTGTGTTGGTATTAGGCGAGCAGCAGCAGCAGAAGTGGTTAGGATATGAGTGTTTTACTACCGCGGTCCTATCACACCGTCCCCGAAATAGCATTGACGGGCGAGGGACTGAGCCCGAGGCTGGATTTCGGCGGGGAACGGCCGAGGTGGCGGTCTACACTAATAGGATCGAACGCCACCTCCCCCCCCACACACACACACACAGACACAGACACACAGACACACATACACAGACACACAGACACAGACACAGACATAGAGACACACACACAGACACACACAGCACACACACTCAAACTCACACACGCGCATATACAGTAGATCACGTCACGATATTATAACCGGGTAGGTAGGTAGGTAGGTAGGTACTTTGAATGCAGCTCGTCGTCTCGGATATCCGGCGGGACCAACCTGTAGTGTGAATATAATAATAAATACCACCACCGCGGTTTATAACATTACCTTCCGGCGACGTCGTGTACCTACATATCGTGTATATAAACTATGCCTATAAAACCAAGATATAGGAGTTCGTAGACCTATACATTTCAAGTTGTGTACAAAGTGTTTTTTGAACCAGGTTATTTAGCTGCACTCGTTGCAGCCTCTCCTATAATATATGCAAAGGTAGGCATTAACTAGTTGAAAAGTGTATGTTAAGTTATAACTTTAATTTTTTTTAAACTTAACAAGTTAGTTAGTTTTCTAATCAACTTATGAACTTAACTCTACTTACCCACTTTTTTAAATTTATTTTTGATTGCTATGGCAACGTAATTATATTATTTATTGCAATGGTCACTAGGGGGGAAACCTAGGCTCTAAGATATTCGGTTTCCATGGTAACTAAACACTAAATCTGCCTGAAAAAAAAAAGTTGGACCTCAAAGGCTCAAAAACATATTATGGGTACCTGTTATGGCCTATGGGTTATAATTAACATTTGTATTAAGCACACAAAGTTAAATACTTAACTCAAAACCATTCGTGTGAATTTCAAATTAGATGCATCAAATTATAATAATGCAAGTACCCTCCTATCTAACTGTAACAAGTAAAATAGTTTCGTGTGATGTGATGAGCAGTGGTATACTAATAGATCTGTAAGTGGTTACCTACATTTGGAGCCTTGGAGGTCATAAAATATTTTGGTATAATTGGTTTTAGTACTTTATCCGTGACGTCGATATTTCACGTCTTAACGTCTTCAATGTCAATTATTATCGATGTAGGTACGTGACTTGACTTTATGCACGTTAGAATATACTTAATATATATATAGATATTATGTATCCTTGCAGAGTGTCCATTTATATTGTGCACGATAAATATTTAGGTGAAATCGACCGTAAACAATTTATCTGAGCCACTTAGGTATGCTGGT